CCAAGATATCCCATAGATAGAGCTCGCCGAGCTGCATCTGGAACGCTAGTTGGAACGGTTGGAACGGACTCCTGGGCGAATCGCTGATGGAAGGACTCGAATCCGCTGCCAACTTCACTTAAGTATAGAATAGAATTAAATAATAAATAATGTTTTTTAGAACTTTGTTTGTAGTAGTTAATCAAGAATACTATTGTCGAAAACGATAAATTCTTCGCATGATAAAAGTGGATTGCCATTCTTTCCAGTAAAACGTTGAAGGATAAATATAGAGAAAAAAAGTGACTAGTTGAGGAAGAAATGAAATTAAATACGAAATTATGAGAAGATAACGTAATTGATTGATTTGATTAGTTTGACACGCAAATGATAATGATATAATCAAAATTGGTAATGAGAAGAGCGAGAATATCGAAGGCAGAAGTGCGATCATTGGCCGAGTAATCATTTCTTTATTTTCATTTAAGACATTACGTAAAACATTTAATCGATCTTGATCTCCACGATTATCTGAAGAGTGTATCAATCAATTCAATTCAGTCTCTACAGAATTTTCTCGTTATAGTTTAATTACCTTTTATTGAGTCGGAAAATATTGATGATTGATGAGTATTGGTTGTTGGTGTTCGATCTGAAATGGATTTTAAATAATATCAATTGGGCGTTAACTACAAAACAACTTACATTGTTTAGTTTTGTAAATATTCATTTTATTATTGATAACTTTTCCAATAATTATCATTGTCGAACAAATATTAATTATCAATGGTAAAATAGAATGAACAATCGAAACTGTCTGATGAATCAATGTCCAGATTGTTTGATGAGAGACGGAAAATTCCATCACACATATTGCACTATTCTCTTCTCCAATCTTATTGAGAAATAATTTCACGAATACTAATTCATATGAAGTCGAAAGTAAAATAACCAACAATGTTAAAATCATCAACCGACGAGCAACAGATGGCTTTTTCAACCATTGTTTCTTCAAAAATATTGCCGTATATGAACGTTCGACAGAAATAAAAGAAGTTAACCAATAAGATATTCGAATAGAACAAAGTAGAAAATAATTTAATAATTTACAAAGAATATTATGAATCATAAAAGAAGGTGTTGGATCAGTTATAACTCGAGATAAATGAATAAGACGTGCGATTAGAAAGACTAAACTAATTTGATTAATAATACTCATATAGAATAAATAATGACCAACGCCTGTTTGAAGACACGTCGATCGATGTAACGTAACAAACGAAAAAATATTATTTATCAAACCAATAGAGAATCCAAGGATAGAAATAATGATGATTAAATTCATTGTTAGTTGTTTATAATTTGAAATTAAATCCGAATAGAATAATTGATCAAGAGTAACTGTTAATGATTTGGAATTGAATTGGCATTGAAGGCCTGAATAGCATAATGGACATAAACAAAGAATATGATTTCCTTTCAAACATAATCCACCTGCTAAACAAAATGAACACCGATCAAGTGTTGAATCATAGAGAAAACATTCGGCACGTGTATGATCTGTCTTACAAATACATAAATATGAATCATCATGAAAACAAAATTTACTGGTATTCGTAATACATATCTGATGATATTCAATGGGAGATGTGGATTTCATTGAGAATTCAGACGTAGCTGGACATCGATTATCTTCTTCGATCCATGTAAATCCTTCGAAAGATTCGCTATTGATTTGTAAAGAAAGTAGATAAAGATTTGGTCGAATATCTTGATAAGAACGATAGACTTTAGCTAAAACAATTTCAGGTATTATTTCATATTTAGCTTCATATTTGAGAAATGAAGGTAGAACTGTATAGACTTGTTGATGTGTTAGAAAAAGATTCAACATTTGATAATCAATATAGAAATATTGTATAACAATGGCAGAACAAGTTCGAGTTTGATTCGAAAAGGAGAATGCAATAAGTGCTTTTCTATATTGACAATGAGATCCATAGAAATGATTTGAACATATACATATGACTTGATCAAGCGTAGAACTTTGAAGACAAGTACCATTATTAAAACAGGAATTGATTTGACAATGACTATATTCCAGCTCACAGCGATCACCATATCGATTAAACGGACAAATACAATGAGGTAAACTATTACCTCGGAGAGAACTCGAATAATCTGGTTTACACAAAGCATTCGATGCACAAAATTCATTTTTACAACGGAAATCTTCCATCGAACAATTTGGACCAGTAAAATTACTTTGACAAAGACAAATATATTTCGATTTATCATTGAGAAGAGTTTGACATTGTTGATTTGGTTGACATGGATTTCTTTCACAAGGATTTGTTTGGATTAAATGAAGAACTTTCGATAATTTAAAAACTGGTAAATAATCAAAATCAATTGAATATTGCCAAACGGCAATCAATGTTATTGGTTTCATGTGCTGTGCTTCATAAATTTCAATACGAATTGAATAGGGATGATGGTGAAGAATATTTGAACGATTGAAGAATCGTTTCATTCGGTCTTGACGAAATTGTGATGAATGTGAATAAACGAAATGAACAGTTTTCTTCCAAAATTGATTAATTTCTAACGGTAATCGAACTTGAAATTGACTGGTCATTAAAACTTGGTTTTCATCAAAGAAAAGAAGAAGAATTTGAAGAAAAGTTTGCGAAGAATTTTCAATTGAATAAATTGATTGAGAGAGATTTAAATAGAAAAGAAATATTAACCGATCATTATGATATTGACAATATTTACCATAATATTGTGGTGGACAAAAACAAACTATTGAAGAATCTCTTAATAAGACGCCAAAACCACGATTACACCAAAAAGAAACTTTGAATAACGATGAGGAACGATCCGGTTGGAAAAAATCATCAACAATCTTCGGAGTAAACGACACATTGACATCAAGCGATGAACTTTTTGGAAAATTAGATAACTCGAATGGATGGATCTCACTTCTGACGTCGAATTCTTTACTCTGTCGATACGGATCCATTCGGAATTCCGACTTTCTATAATCACACATATATTCATCTTCACCAAAGGAACATTCCAGTTCACGATCACATCGATCTATTCTACTATTAAATTGTTCATCGAAACAAGTAAATCTATAGAATTGATCGTAAGTCGATAAATTACCTCGATGAGAACACCATTGTTCATCATCGATTGGATTGGGACAGCGCTCGCCGTATTGACAATGCCAATGATATGGAATACAAGTGTCACTCGATGCACATTTAAAGCTATATCCAAGCATTGTTGTTTGGTCACAGTGGACACGTCTATTACTTTCATCAATACTTCCTAAACAATCAATTTGATTATCACCAATTTGATTGAAACTGAGACATTGATATGGTTTCAATGAAGTCTTCTCATGAGAAAGACAAGCAAATGGATGTGTTTTGTTACAAATACTAAATTTTTGTTGAGATTTGTTGACAGAATTCTGTTTTTTTAACATTTCGATTCTTTTCAAAAAGAAATCTTCTTCATCCGATGCATCTGTACAATCCCATTCACGATCAGATAACCATCGATGTTGAATACATTGTCCTGTTCGACATTTCCATTGACGATCATTGCAAATCCACCACTGATGACAAAAGTTTCTGTCTTCATCTTCTCCTAGTTTCAAATCCCAAAATGAATCACAATACCAATGAAATGGAATTGCCGGCTGAGAACGACTGTCATTCTTCTCAACTGGTAACCATGATTGTTCGATATACTTACGTAAAAGAGAACATTCGTCGGTGCGCTGTTCATTACAGTTCATTTCAGATAATTGTTGACCTATCCCAAACCACAACTCATCATATCCATTACTACATTCGTTCCATTTATTTCCTAATACTATAATACTTAAACATGTTGGTTGATTAACCGAACAATAGAAACGATACGATTTCAATCCCTTACAACTTTCATGAATATCGATTTTAACGTTTTCATCTTTTCTATCTAAACACGAATAAAATCCATCGTTAATACGAGAAACAGATAAACATCTTCTGGAATCATTACAAACATTAACTGAGTCATTCATTCGATAACATGGTTCTATCAAACTGGAATTTTCAATAAATATTTCTCGACAAAATTCAACTTCGATCATACGGCGAAGGTTAAATTCCGGGATAAAAGCAATCGTTTTTGTAAGTGAAATCAAAACACCTTGACAGTTTATTGTTCCATTGATAAAGACGTACCGTGGTAGACGGGAATCCATATTTTGATTGGCATCAAAAAGAAAGAATGCATAAGCTCCCATGATTGCTTTAGAAGGATATCGAATGAAATTATCATGACAATCTTTCGAAAGAATTTCAGTGCATTGAAAAGTATACCAGCAAGGACATTCTTTTCCTTTACCTCGTGATAAAGCACATTTGAGAAGATGAATACATTGCTCATCTTTCGTACGATTAGATTTGATTGCTATATGTCTTGCATCAATAAGACATCGACCACTCGGCAATGTCCATTGCAAAAGATGATAAGAAGTTTCACAAATAAAATATTGTTCTCGCCGACTTGAACATTCTCGAAATCCATACGATTGCTGAAATTCAAACCTATTCCGAAGACATTGACCATCACCGCATGAAAATTGATATGGAGGACAAATATGATCATCACATTTCGTATTTGCTCCCATCGAATAACATTCATCACCATTCCAAAAAGATAATTCATCACTCCAATCCAAACAATCGTATTGACCATCAAGAAAAAAGCTATCTGGAATACACATCCCATTCATACATCGATATTCACCATCCTCACACTGATTTAATTCAAGAAGATCACAATTCTTTTCATCATAGCCAAACATGCAGTGTTGAATTCCGTCACAGATTTCTCTCCAATCGAGACATAATTGACCAGAATCACATTCCACATCTTTGTAACAAACAATATCACCAAATTCTTGCACTTGCTGTGGGTTTCTTCGTTTCATTTCTAAATGCCATTGAAAGGCTTGAGCAATAGTTGTTCCAACTGGTAATTGATATTCACAATTCTTTCCAAATGTTCCCAATCGAATACATTCGCAAATATATCGATCGTAATTATCTTTCGACGAATCTTTTCGATAATGAGAATATTGTTCAACTCTTTCAATGCTCGATCTCCATTCGTGTAAAATGAAATCACTACTAATATTTGATGAATCAAGTGTTGAATATAAATGACGTTGTCCACCATTGTTCAGACAAGAATTTATATCCCTATCTCGATTTAAATTTAGTGGTTCAAATGGACGACGACAATATTGTAAATCATCAATGATAAAACAATCAAAAAAATTCACTGATTTCCCATCTTCAGTGTTGTACAAATAGATAGAGTTTTCAATCAAATGAAAATGAATGAAAAATAATATTGTAACCAAGAATATTCTTTTGATTCTGAGAAATTTCTTCATCATCGAATGAAATTTCTCGACTTGATAGTCTATCTTATAAATGTATTGATAAATTATATTTGTGCATCAATAGAAATTGGTAAAGATAAAGAAAAAAAAGATTTCTCACTCACAAATCAAGAGAATATGATATAACACCTACTGAGTATTTGTTAGACGAGAATCTTCAGGAAATCAAAGTCACATCTGACTATTTAGTTGTGACGTGATCACAACTCATTCTCATTTTGTTACCTTCTATATATATATATATATATATAAAAGAATATTTGTCTATCCGTAGGTCGACAAATCCGACCGGATTCCGACGGCAAAAATCCAATCATTTCTCCCCACTTCTTTGAGCATTCTTTTTAGTTAGATTTTACTATGACCGTAGGGGAATCCATAAAATCCATCTTTCAGATCCGATATGCTAATAATCGACCTGAGTCTGTTAGCTATTCATTTAGATCCTGTAATAGCTAACAGCACTTAGCTTTCCTTGGTACTTCCTTAGATCCAGGGGAAGGTTTGGATGATGATTCGATCTAACGTAGTGGAAAAGAGTGTGACATTGAAGACTGATCCTATTGTAAAAAGCTGTCAGCGGAATCTCTTGCGGGATTCAAAATGTGAAACACGATGAGGGTGTGGGTGAGAGTGTGGGTGAGTCAAGCATTACTACGATCGCGATTTCGATCCTTGCTTAAGGGATCATCATCAGGTAGTTTTTGACTTCATAGTCATCCAGATGATCCGAAGATCATAGATGGACTATATGTAGTCTGTATTGAGAGAATTTCTGGTGGCCTTGCTAGCGCTGGGTACCTGTCATATGGTTATATGTGGTACAATATTGAATGGTAGTGCAGCTCTTATATATTGAATTGAGT